GAGCCGGCCCGCCAGGCCGCACCTTCTGGAAGGCGGCGAGCGAGCGGCTGAACGCCCGGGACACGCAGCGGGACCGGGACAGCATCGCGGACGCGGCGGAGCCGAGGGCGGGCGGACACCGGATATGGGGGCGACAGCAACCGGAAGCGAGGCGGGCCGCGGCACTCGCCGCGCGCGAGGGGGGCTCGGAGCGAACCATTGGCCGGGGGGGGGTCTGGGTGCAGCCGCCTGCTGCCCAACCGAAGCGGCGCCGCTGCCCCAGCCCTCGCCGCGCCGCTGGCCGGTGACTGTTCGGTCACCGGGTCGGCGCCTCTCTCTCCCGGCCCCGGCCCCGGCCCCACGCGGAGGGGACGGGAAGGCTGGCCGTGGCCCGCGGCGCTCCCGTGCAGGGACGCCTGGCTCTCGGGCCCGGAGCCTCGGGGACACACGGGAGGAGAACCACCGCGCCTCCGTGGCCCCAGCCCCGAGGCCGGGCCGGGCCCGCGAGCCCGCCGAGGGCGCCCCGCGCTGCAGAGCGGCCCCTGTCCTGCGCTAACCCTCCTCCCCCGCGCCCTGGGTGCTCTCCTTGGAGCGCGCTGTCCCAAGAGACAGGCGCTCCGTTCCCCGCGGCTGAGCGACCGCGGAGAGAACTGTGAATGAGTGACGAGGGTCCTGCTGGGCTCTGTTTCTTTGTTTTGTTTTGTTTTGTTGTTTCTGTTTTCCGGTACCGGGAATTGAACTCACGACCTTGCCCTTGCCAGGCAGGTGCTGTGCCGCTGAGCTAAGTCCCCAGCCCCCTTGGGCTCTGTTTCTGGTTTGCTTGTGGTGCTGGGAATCGAACTCAGGACTCTGCGCTTGCCCGCAGGCGCGTGGCCGCCCAGCTAGATCCCCGGCCCCGGCCTCTGCTTCTCGAGTCGCCCTGCCTGATGCTCAAGGCCCTGGCAAGGGTCTGCGTCGCACCCAGCCGCCGACGCCTGCCCTGAGATCCTGGAGCAATCGCGGAGCTCCTGACCAGAACGGCCTTCACCTGGCCCGTGTCCTGCGCCTCGTTCTCCCTTGCTGGTCAGGCTCCCGCACCCTCCACGCCTGTCACAGGGCCTCCGAACGCAAGCCTAACCCCGACATCCCGCTGCAAGTCTTGCAGTCGCTCCTCTGTATCTATAGGATGAAGTCCAAAGTCTTACGCCAGGCTAAACACCTGATAATCTGCCTTCCGGGTTCTGACCGTCTCCCTGCATCCTCGCAGACCCCGAGCTTTAGTTGTACCACACTGCTGGCCGTCACCCAGCGTCCCCCCAAGCGGTGCCTCACTCCTGCGCGGCTCTGCGTGGGCTGTTCCCTCCCATTCGCCTGAGGACTTCTAATGTTCCTTAAGTCTCTCTCTAAACCCCTTCTTAATGCCCTCTGGCAGTGTCAAGATACTTTCTTTATGCTTCCAAAGTACTGTGTGTGTATCTCTCATTATGTTGTAATGCCCCGATTACTTATCTCCTCTAATGAGGGAGTGGCGGCCAGGAATTCTGGCCACAAAAGCCTTTGGTATTCTATAGGTACCCAGTAAGTGTTTGTGAAGTGACTTAACACTTGAGGCTAACATCCCTGCTGGACACAGCTGAGAGGTCCAAGAACAATAATAACCAGGAGCTAAAGCAATCCTCTGCTGGAGTTGCTGTTAATGTTTCTTAGGTAGCCCTTTTCTTCACTTGTGTGTGTGTGTGTGTGTGTGTGTGTGTGTGTATGTGCGCGCGCGCGCGCGCCCCACCGCATCCAGCGTAAAATTTAAAAGCTCATGCCTGGTTATAATGTACCAAAGTATTTCTCCTGGAGTGTTAGTGATTACTCAAGTTAATCTTAGATTTTACAATCAGATACCCACACACACACACACACACACTTGTGCATGGTAGCGCGTGAAGTCCCTCTCAGAGAAAGAGGTTGAAATTGATTTCCTTAAAATTAATGTATGCGCCCCTGTGAGAGTTCAAGGTGCAACCCAGTAATAGGCTAATACTCTTCTGCATTTAGTCTCCCAGGTGCAACATTGCCTACTTGGACAGGAGTTCATGAATATAAGTTGTAGCAGGGTTCTTCTTTTTCACTGTAAAATATTTGACCAACATGTCAATCTCGGGGTGTGTTTTAAGGAACCATAATATAAGGAACATTCATACTCACCACACAGCGTAAGGAAGGGAAAAACCCAGTGTGGCCCTCCCGGGTGGCCAGCCCCTGTGAACCTCACGTGTCAGCCACCCCCTGTTCTCATTGCAGCTTCACACTTGCACACACGTTATTTTGCTTTTCCTTTTTTTGAGGCAGTGTCACACTGTGCAGTCCAGGCTGGCCTCAAACTTGCGATCTTTCTTTTTGAAGTTGAGAAAAAGATGTGTTTACTTTCAAAAGGATTAAGTGGCTCCATTAACAGAAAACACCACAGAGTGATCACCTCACCTTAATACAGAATTTTTTGTTTGGTTGGTTTTTTTTAGAGGTGCCAGGGATTGATCCTAAGGCCAAGGACATGTAGACAATTTGCATAACACTGAGCTATATCCTCAGCCCTTTTGACTTTAAAACAGGATTTGCTAAATTACCCAAGCCAGCCTCAAACTCAAGATCCTCCTGTCTCAGCCTCTCAAGTGGCTGGGATCAGGCATGGACTACTGAGACACAGCATTCTTTTTCTTCACCTTGAGTCCCCCAGTACACTTGCATCCTTGCTGGTATGCTTATTTTTTTTTCTTGCATACTTATTTGTTACTCACCAGACGCTAGGTAGGGCTATACCTTTCCTTCTACCTCTGGACTCCTTAAATTAGGCACCAGGCCCTATAGTCATTCTATAGCACATGTGATATCTAGATTCTATCTTTCCATTCAATTGTAATTAAAACTGATCGATGAATACACAGTGAAAGTAGGCATGTTTTTAAGTCCCTGCCTCCCATTTTTGAACTTACATGGGTCACAGCGCCTGTGTCTGGCCTACTTCTCAATCGTTTGGCATTATGTTCTGAGGGTTTATCCATACTCATTTTTATTGCTGTATTTCACACATTCAGTCCATTTCCCAAGCTGAAGGAGAAGTGCAGTTTGGGGTGAGGGGGTCGGGGCAGTGAGTTCTCCTCCTGTCTGCTGGGCCTGTGCACTTCTGCCCCAGCCACCAGCCTCCCCCAGTGTTCCAGCCTCTGCTGCAGGGACAGGCCACATGGCCTCTTCCTTCTGCAGATCCCAGTTGCCTTGTTTTGGTGCTGAGCAGAATTGATGCTCAAGGGACAGGGCCCTTTGGAGCTGCCTCGCTGAGGTGCTGGAAGCAGAGGTTAGCAGCTTTCCACTGGAGACCGTGGGAGATGGGCAACCCTGTCTCCTGATGTTCCAAGGGCCCTGGAGGCTCTCAGCAAGGACAGGCGGATGGCATTTCGGGATGGTCCCTGCTGAGCTGGCTTTCCAAGGCACCTGAGTTGGGGTGGAGGTGGGAAATGACAGGGGGTAGCCAACCAGCTCTGGCCCTATTTGCATATTCATAAGCCCCCCCATGCTGGTTGGCTGAGGTGAGAAATCCCCACTGTCCCCAGCAGGGTGGGTCTGTCAGATGGTGCCTTGTGCTGAGAGAGAAGGGCCGGAGGCTCCCCTGGCCCAGCCGCCACACCAGGCCCACCTGGCAGGAAGCAGGGAAACCATCATCACTTCCTGACCCTGGCTGTCTGACCCAGCCCGACCCCTGCACTCCTAGGGACCGGACCTTTCTGCAGACGTCTGTGTGAGTAATGCCGTCGCGTCCCCTTGCCTTGCCGGAGCCGCTGTTACTGTTACTGTAGGATGTATGCTGCGAAGGTGTTCAAGTACGTTGTTAACGTATTGTTAATAAGTGGTCATATCTGCTTCATCCATTTTGACTGGCTGAAGTAGTTCCACGTACATGTCAGGCCCAGATATTTCCCTCCCTGATACCTTGCTCTAGGATACCCAACGTGCATTTCAGGAGTCTCCCCCGCTTCTTTATTTTCAGGGCTGGGGATTGAATCCAGGCAGGGCATTTGCCCTGTGCTATATCTCCAGCTCTTTATTCATTTGTTTATTTTTATTTTTACACAGGGTCTTGCTAAATTGCCTACATTAGGGCCGAATTTACAGTTTTTCTGTTTTGGCCTCTCAGTCCTAAAATTACAGGTCTGCTCCACAGTGCCCAGCTCCGCAGCCCTCCTGAAGCTGTCTTGCATGTTCCTCTCTTCCTCTGTCTTTTTCTGTCTGTCAGTGGTGTGGGGCGTTGAACCCAAACCTTTGAACTGAGCTACATCCCTAGCCCTTTAAATGCTTTTTAGTTTTTTTGAGACAGGATCTCACGAAGTCACTAAATTACCTAGGTTGGGCTTGAGCTTCATGGTCCAGCCTCTCGGACTGCTGGGATTACAGGTATGCTGCAGCACACCTGGCTTTGAAGTTCCTCTCTCATGAGATCCTGCAACAGTCTGTGTGTGTGTGTGTGTGTGTGTGTGCGCGCGCGCGCGCGCGTGATTAACCCCAGTCTAGAAAAGTGGAACCCAGCAGGAAGTGTGTCTCCAGCGCCTATGGCTGAGAGCCCCGACTTCTGAGTCCCAGCCCGGGCATTGGGACAGCCCCATGAAAGCATCTCTGATGTGTAGGTGGTCTTTGCCCCTCATCGCAGCCGACAGCAAGGTCAAGGGGACTTTGGGCATGTCCCTGCACTTCTCTGGGCTTGTCTCCTCATGCATTACTGAACAGCAGGAGTCCCTAACACTGCTCTGTGATAATCTCAGAAGAATAGGAAAAGACAGAGTAAAACGTTTTTCACAAAGCTCAATTTATTTGCCTGTTATACATTCTCTCCTTAAAAAAAATCAGGATGAGGGCTAGGGATTTAGCTCAGTGGCACAGCGCCTGCCTGGCAAGCGCAAGGTTCTGAGTTCCATTGCTGGTACCGGAAAAAAAACAAAAACAAAAAAAATCCCAGGATGCTAAAGACTTATTTTCTTGTATGAAATACAAATGATAGAAGATCATAATCTTTTGTATACTTATTTTTTGTGCCCTTCACTGCAAAATAAAATGCCAGCAACTGTCTGGTGGGGCTGGTGTCCATGTTTTTTCCTTTTCATTCTAAAAGTCTGGAAACCACCCACTGTACCAGAAATTCCCTGGGCTGGGCAGCGCTAGAGTGCTATGACCATGGGGCTCTCCGCACTGCCTTCGACGGGGAGGAAAGTCCCATCGGAGGAGTGCCTGGGTGTGTCATCTCCTGGGGTCCCCACCACAAGCCGAGGGGAGGGAAGAACTGAAGAGGGAGAGAGGCTGTCAGGTTTCGTAAGGTCACGTAGGTCCAGCAGCTGGGACATCCGCAGTTCACAGCCCACAGCGCCACAGACCGCCGGGGCGTCCAGCTCAGTTGTGTCCTGTCTGCTCATGGACAGGGCCGTGTGACCCGAGCCCATCTTCAGTCTGACCCCTCTCTGCCATCAGCTGGTGCAGGCACGGATGAGTGCCCTGGGCCTGCAGCGCAGTGGAGACAGTGCTGGGGCTTCTCATCTTAGAGAAGGAGGCAGACCTGAAGCTGTAGATGAAAACACCTCCGCACTGGCTAGAAATGCCGTAGAACTCTGAGACGTGCTACCCTGATCAAGGCTAAGACTTGGCTGGGTCCGCTAAGTATTTGGATGGGAGGCTATTTAGGAAAACCTTGGGTGAGTCAAAAATGTATCATATATAAATGTGATTAGTTATGAATCCCAGATGAAGGACCCTTAGATTCTATGGTATCTGCACAAGATAAGGCATTTTCCTCCATTTTCTTGAACCATACTGGGGATGGCATTTACTAACGCACAAGGCTGGTCCAATTGGAACACAACTGAATCTAGGAAATGAAGTGCTTCAAGGAATAATCTTGATTTTTTTCAACAAAATGTGGCAGGAACTTTATCAAGGAAATAACAATAACCCTTCTTTTTTTGTCTTTTTGAGACAGGGTCTCACTATGCAGTTCAGGCGGGCCTTGAACTCACTTCGTAGCCTAGGCTGGCCTCGAACTCGTAAGGAGCCTCCTGCCTCAGCCTCCCAAATGCTGGGATTACAGGCATGCGCCACCACGCCCGGCACAATGACCCTTCTTATATAAATCCAGTTTGAGTCTCAGTGACAGTGATGAGAATGAGCTGCATCCTGCAGACATCACCACGTGCCTTTTAGCTGAGGCCCCCATAGAGCCCACCTGCTGTGTCTGTCGGTGCCACACCCTGGCTGCACTGTGGTGTGGCCTAAACGTGCATGCACCACAGAAAGGACACAGCCTGTGGGCTGCGGGGCTCTCCCCAGCCAGCCCCACAGCAGCCTTCCCTTTTGCCCACCCGCGCAGAGCTTCGGCAGATCTCCAGGGTTGTTCCCCGGGAGGGCACAGATGTGCAGGGAGAAGGGCTGCAGGCCCAGAGGTCTGTGCCTGAGGAAGCCACACACCCGGGCCGCCTCTGCCCAGTGTCTGCCAAGGGCTCCTGCACTTCAGCTGACGGGGCGGCGCACAGCTCCTCCCTCTGCCGTCCTCTCGCGCTGGACTTCACCCTCCTTTTACATTGTTTGGTTACACAAATTTGTCATCATCTCTGAGCTCTGCACTTACATTTGTAGCTAAATCTGATTCTCCAGGGGGCTTTTTATGTGTATCTGGAAGGAATCAATATAGAAGCAGTAAGAGAAGATACAGCTGTTGGGTTTTTTTTAAAAAAGCAAAAACTTTATTTTCTAGAGCAGCGTTATGGTCACAGCAAAAATCAGTAGAAAGCAGTGATTTCTCGTATGTCCTCTTACCTCCTTCAACAGACATAGGCTCCCCATAGATGCATTTTTTTTCTTTTTGCAGCACTAGGGACAGAATCTAGGCATGCTCTACCGCTAAGCTACATACCGAGCCCTTCATTTTTTTTTTTTTTTTTATTCTGAGGCACAGTATCATTAAGATGCCCAGCTGGACTCAAATTGTGATCCTGTTACCTCGCCTCTCCTGGTGCTAGAACTCCACGCATGCACCACTGTGCCTGGCTACAAGCTTTTAATTTTAATTAACAAAGGCAAAGGTTGCCTTTTTTAAAGTTAAAAAGTGAAAACATGCATTGAAAAGAAGAAACGTAGGAAAAGATTACCCGTAGTTCCATCACCTATAAATAATTATGGCTAACGTTCTGATGTACTTTTTGTTATCCTTTTTCTTTGTATTTTTGTATCTAATTTTCCCTCATGCTACCTCATTATTATAAAACAATGTTACATAAACTCTGCTTACATGAGGTTTCCATTTGTATAAGGCAGCATCATGTAGCTGGCACCATATTTTATAATTTATTTAACCAGTTCCTACGTTTACAGCTAACACAGGGGTGATCATCTCGGACGCACGTTCATGGGTACCGCGACCATTCTCTTGCCTCAACTTCTAAATATAGAATTGACTGGAACAGACAAGCATTTTTAAGTTTCTTAGTATATACCACATATTTTGTCCCAAAACATATGAAAAATGAGCAATATTACTGAGAAACAAAGAAATACAAAAAGTGCAATAAGACTTCCATCTATTGTATTGGCAAAAATTTTAAAAAACAGTGCCTAGCCAGGCGTGGTAGTGCACAGCTGTAATCAGCATTCTGGGGAGGCTGAGGCAGGAAGATTGCAAATTTGAGCCCAGCCTGGGCAACTAAATGACTTACTGGGACCATGTCTCAAAATTTATTTTATTTTTTTTTGTACCAGGAATCGAACTCCGGACCTTGTGCTTGCCAAGCAGGCACTTATGCTGCTGAGCTACATCCTTGGCATACATCTCAAAATTTAAAAAATAGAAGAGGGCTGGGGGTGTAGCTCCATGGAAGGCCATAGGTCCTCTTCCCAGTGCAGGGAAGGGTTAAGGGCAACACTCGGTGTTGACGAATATAAAGGATCACGTGTTGTTTTACAGATTATATCAGGAGAGAAAATCCAGTACTCAAAGGTAGGTATAGAGGGCGAGAGATATAGCTCAGTGGCGCAAGCACCTGCCTGGCAAGCGCGAGGTCGTGAGTTCGATTCCCCGTACCAAAAAAAAAAAACAAAAGGTATAGAGACGGGAGGTGCGGCTCAGCGGCAGGACACTTGTGGAGCAGGCACCAGGCCCTTGGTCAGCTCTCCCAGCACCGCTGAGTATGTGTAAGGGACAAGTGGACACATTCTTGTGCAACTTCTACTCACTGAAGTAGTGTGCACAGCAGAAATCGAATGTCCTTCTGTCCCTCATCTCCACCCTCAACCACTACATTTCTGGAGGGCAGCTAGGGGAGAACTGTAAAAATGTAACATGCTCAGTCCCTGGCCCTGGCAAAAAGAAAAAAAATGCATTTTTCACTGCTAGAAGTACAACCTAAAGGAATGAATGGTAGGTCCCCAAAGACATGTGCCGGAAAGTAACATTATTCTTAGTAACAATGGCTATTGCCATGTGCCGAGCTCTTCTGAAAACATCACAGACTTTAACTCTTTGGATCCTTAAAACATCCCTTCATAACAGTAGGAATTAGGGTTATTCCCATTTTCCTGGGTGTACAGAGGTCACAGAGCCAGTTAAGAGGCTTGGGAGTCTCAACTCAACTTCCAGGGCCATACGCTTACACTACTATAACAGTGAAAACTTAACAAGGAATCTGTCCATCCAAAGAGAACTTACTAATAAATTATGGTGGGCAGCCTCAGTGGCACAGAGCCTGCCTGGCAAGCGCGAGGTCCTGAGTTTGATTCCTGGTACCAATAAATAAATAAACAATAGTGGATCTGTATGATTACTATCAGCTTTCATGGTGTTATTGAGAACTGATATTCACTGCCATGAAAGGAAAAAAGGAAATTACAGAACTCTGTATGTGTAATACCATTTTGGTTTTTTAACAGTTACACATTTTATATACATGTACCAACTCCTCACTGAGGAATGTGATCACTATGCATTGCAAACATGTACTAATAAAATTTTTCAAAGTTACACAATTATGAGAAATTACGTAAATTCCTCTCTATACAGAGAAGCACGTTTTTAAAAATGCATACAAAGGCCAGGCATGGTGGCACGGGCCTGTAATCCCAGCACTCAGGAGGCAGAGGCAAGAGGATTGCTGTGAACTGGAGGCCAGCCTGGGCTACACAGTAAGTTCGAGGCCAGCCCGAACTACACAGCAAGACCTTGTTTCAAAAAAAAAAGCATACAAAAATGTTAACTGGGTTCAATCCCTAGCACCACAAAAACAAACAACAAAAATGTTACCTCATTTTTTGGGGGAGGCAGTGGTATGGCTGTCTTTCTTTTTTCCTTGTCATACATTTCTACACTTGGGAAATGAAATGATCCTGCGTTACTTTCAGAATCTAAGAAAAGCAAGACAGCTGTTTGTCAAGAGTGGCGACCACTGCTGCTTCTCAGCACATGAGAGGGTGCTGCTAGTTAATTTTCACACAGCCTGCTTCCCGCGGGCCCTGCCCGACCAAGGCTCTGGGTAGCAAGCTGACCTCAGCTGGGAGGTTTCCTGTTTCTCAGCAGCACAGGCGCAGTTCCCATGACTGCCCGGGAGAGACGGGGGTGGACGTCCCTGGGCACTGACCACAGCAGAGTCTGGCTGGCTTTGCAGTTTCAGGATACTTCTGTTCATTGTTGCTTCGTTAAATACACTGGCCCCGTCTCTTGCCCTATGCTCTCTGCCTCTGGAGCACACAGACTACATGGAAGCTCAGGAACAATAACCTGAATAACTCACAAGGAAGTTTGGCAAGGTGGTGGTTGTACACTCCTCTAATCTGTCTACCTGTCTGTCAGTACTGGTTCTGTTCCATGCACAAGGTCCTGTGCTAGGGGCTTGAGAGATCTGAAATAATTAATGTATAGCTGCCCTTTAAGGTTTGCAGAGGGATTGATTGCAGGGCTTCCCATGTAAATACAAAGATTTAAGAACATTCAAGTAGGGTAATGTTTTCACGGAACTACCCCTACTCGCCAATACACTTCAGATCACCTCTAGGTTACTTATGATTCATATGGGATGTAAATGCTATGTAAATGCTGTATTTTTTAAAAAGAATAATGTCAAGAAGGTGAATGTCTGCATATGTTCATTACAGATGCAGTTTGCTAAAAGATTTTCAATCTGAGCTGGGTATGGTGACACATGCTTGTGATCCCAGCATTCTGAGAGGCACGGTCACCAATCCGAGCCCCGCCTGGGCAATTTAGGGATTTAGCAGGACTCTGTCTCCAAAACAGAGCTGGGAAGAATGTTCTATGGAAGTCCTGGTTCAGTGCCCTAGTACCGCAGAGTAACTACTTAATTAATTCAGTCTGGTTGGTTGACTCTGTGGGCGCCCGTTGTGCCCTCACTGAGACAGAAATACAAACGAAGCGCCCGTAGAGCGATCCCTCCGACCGAGCAGACATCACTTAGCCAGGGCGGCGGTGGGCGGCGTTGGACACAGAGGAGTCCCCCTCACAGTCTGCGGGGAAGACGGGGAGGCTTCCGGGAGGAAGCGGCGTCCAGGCGTGTTCCGAAAGCGGGAGGGGGCCGCGCGCCGAGGGCACCGGGCAGCCAGGAGGCGGCTGAGCCGGGCTGCGGCCCCTGCGGGCGGCGGGCGGCTGGCAGAGACGGTTTCCACCGGGCGAAAGAACCACATTTCCAAAACTTTGCGCCACTGCAGCGTCCCTGAGATAACAGGCAACCGGAGGGGACTCCCCCGGCTCCGACCCGCCGCCTCCCTCCCGCCGCGGGGGAGCTCAGTGCCGCCCGGCTCTGCTCCTTCCTGTGCAAGGGCGGAAGGACGGCGCCCAGAGAGTCATCCGTTCTTCCCAATTCAAGGAATTTTGAGGGTTTATTTATTTTATTTTATTTTTGTAATATTGGGAATTTGCACTGAGCTATACCCCCAGCCCCCAGCCCTTTAAAAAAAACATTTTTTTTGAGACAGGATCTTGCGAAATTGCCCAGGCTGGACTCTAACTTGAAATCCTCCTGCCTCGGTCTCCTAGAATACTGAGATTACAGTCCTGAGCCATCACACCTGGCTTCAACTTTTATCTTCTGATGGCAGCAGAAATATGCTGCTGTTTGTCCGATCTTGAAAAGTCCCGTATTGATTCCTCTACTGAGACAGGGATGATACAGGACCTCCAAATAATATAAGGGAAATAGCCAGGCGTCCAATAAGCCGAGTTCATGGTCTCTAAAACCAAAGAATTAAAAAAAAAAAAAAAAAAAAGAAAAGAAAGAAAGAAAGAAAGAAAGAAAAGAAAATTGAAGAGTTAATTCTAGGAACAATCCTAGGTTAAGAGTAGGAAGTGTTTACTGAGAGAAAGCAAAGCTTCTGTCTGAGAGAGAAAGAAGAGGTCCTGAGTGGGTGGCCAGGGACCCTACTTCTCACGCGGGTTTGACAGAGTAAAACCGTCAGGGGAGGCGGGCCTAAGGTGGGGCAGAACTACAATGAACCAACAAGATTTCAAGTGTGGTCACTTGGGTGAGATTGATTAGGTGGGGATAAGCGGGGAAGGACTGGGCAAGCGCGCGTGGGACTGACGGGGACTTCGCTCCGAGGCGCGGGCTCGGGAGGTCAGGTCCTGCGCCCGAGGTGACAGGACGACGCCCGAGTGAACACCAGGCACCGCTGCTCCTCTCAGGGGGAAGTACGTGGTGCGGGTGTGGCCGGTCCGCTTTTCCTGGAGGCCTGGCCCGCGGTGGTGCGCCTGCGGTCGCGGTTGGACTCCACGCTGGCCTCTTGAGGGCCCCCCGCTGTGCCCGCTGCACGTCTCCGAGCAGCTTCGCCGGCCTCTCGGAGCGGCCGCAGTCGTGTGCCCTGGGAGTCCCGGCCCTCGCGAGAGCGCCTGCGGGTCGGACTGCTCCCTCACGC